CATTGGTTGTTGATCATTCACAATTTGAAGAGCTTTCATATAATCTTTTACGCTTTTCAAATTGTTTTCGACGAAGTCAATAAGAATTGCATTTTGTATATGACGATTATTTCTTTTCTCCGTCAGCCGGTCATTGTAATTGTGTATCATTAGTCTATCCATCAAAATCTTATCATCAGAAGAATCTCTTACCATATAGTCTCGTATACGATCATGGTAAGGAATACCAAGGTTTACAATGAATCGCCTGCCAATATGCTTTGAAATCAATTCGCCATCAATGATCTTTGAATTGATTGCTCCGCTACGTGGAATCGCTGGTGTAGAACATGGATTAGCTAAGATCGTGGTCATATGGGCTGCCCAAGACGTGTTAGTAGTATCAGCTTGTCTTTGAATATGAATATTGTGATAATCGTCGACATTCAATATAAAGGCGTTTTTCGAATCTTTTTCAAGAGAGTTCTCGACATATCCCTATGTGTATCTGACATCTTCTTCTTTTACGATCTACTGTTCTTGCCGTGATGGATACGCCAAGGTTTGCCATCGTGTTCAGGCCTTCATTACTCGTATCCACTGAATCTAAGTAGTATGTAAGGTCGACCTTAAAACAATTAATTTTAGTATTATTCAATAAAGCGAGAAGATAGCATATGAGCACCATTAATCTCTTCATACGATCCATTGTTTGTTCATTGTTTTTAAGTGGTCGAGCCGCCGAATAGAGTTGATCAAAAAAATTAGTTAAGTTCGGTTCGATTTCCTGAAGTATTTTTCGCATTTCGTCAAATGCGTAAATAGGAACTTCCTTCTTTATATGCTCTCTTTCGTAAAGGATTTTTGCCATTGCTTTGATGGCTTGAGTGAGGTCAACGTTCGTACTTGCCTCTTCCTCAACTACATCCAAGACATTTTCGTTCATAGCTTCTTCGTCCGCGACTTTTGCTCTCTTAGTACCTCTCTTTAAAGGGTTTTCTACAAGCCACATGTAACAAATATTACAAAAAATACTACTCTCCACCCAACTTACCTTTATTGAATCGTTCCTTATGGCTTCTCTCCATTTTTCTCCCTTTGACGAACGGAATTTGGTCGACTCGGTGGCTTGGCATTCTATACAATGCTTACTTTCGGACATGTTTTTAAACAGTTAATAGTAATATGAAGGTTGTGGGATTCAAAAGGATTCAATATATATTATAATAATACGGTAAGAAAGCTTCAAATTTGCTTAGAAATATTACCCACATTTCATTTGATGAAATGGCAGATAGATGATCCCTCAAAAAGTATTATATACTGTATAAAAAAAAATTTAATAAATTGTGTAACCGTTTTCCTTATTTGGGACGGTCTCCCTTGTACAGCTGAATGCGTTTATTGTTTTTTAATTTTTTTTTTTTTCATTTTATTTCACATGATTACCATAACTGAAAACTCGACATTAGTTGATACGATTGTATACAACGTGAATTTGTTGGTGCAATTCCGAAGAAGAAACATAAGGGATGTTTTGTTTCAACTCAAATACAGCACTTGGGGGACTTCGCACCAGTTCAGTGTTCAACTTCGCGTTCGCCACATTCCATCAAATGATTTGTATCTAATATATCGAATACTCATTCCTTAAACATGTATCATATAAAAAAACTCAAACCGATGGCGCAAGCAATTATACCTTTGATGAGTTTTCTATTTTGATAGGTGGTTTATGCAAGTTAGTTCGGCAAATTTATCATCGTTAAGAGAAAATTAATTTTTTTTTCTTAGAATATTTTCATGGGTGGCGAATATTGTTTTGTTATGACTATAAGGTAAGTATCTTCTTTTTTTTTCCTTTAACGATGCCTTTAGGCGGGACTCTAAAGTTCATGAATTAAATTTATTTCGTGAAATAAAAATTAATGTTTTTTAGAATTGCCTTTCTGGTAATTTCTGTCTGATCATGTCCTAACTTTACTTTTCTTTTTTATTTTATTTTATTTTTTTTTTAACTAATAGGTGACGTATTTTTTTTCCCCCGAGTTTTCATCAATTTTCATAAGATAATTTCATTTGACGGTTATGTGAATCGATTTATTTCAAAATTGTCAAATGGTAAAAAATTTATTTAAAATTGAGTACTGATTTGAGTCCTGCCAAAGGGTATGAAATTTCAAAACGCGTAGATTTGATTACTTTATTTTTATTTTATTTTTACTTTTTTTTTTTTTTGAAAGGTTTTCTCTAGCCTTTATATTGTGTACATAATTCATCCGACATGTGTGGATAAAGTATTATAAAAAGCGGTCGGTAAAAGTTTAATATGCTTGTTTTTTATGATAAATAATTGAATTTATTGTTATAAGTAAAAACTTATTGTACAAAAAATTAAAAAAAAAAAAAATCAAATCAAGATCAAAATCAAATAAAAAATTCTTTGACGTTTATCTACATATAGCATCATCACCACCTAAAACCAATCCCAAAATTAGCCTAACAATAGCTCTGGGCAATCCTTCCAAAGTGAATCCATCAGATTCACCATCATCATCATGACCAGATTTGTTATAACCCTCTTCTTCAAATTTATCCATATCAACTAATACATTAAGCTTTTTACCAAGTGTGGCCGTTAAAAACCAATCTTCGGGCAAATGTGGTACCCACATTTGTCCTTCACAAAATTCATTTGATGAATATGGTCCATGTTTTGAAAATGTACTTCTAAGTTTACATATAATTCGTTTTTTACATTGTTTCCGAGATTCCAACGCTCGACATGATCCATATTTATTCAAAGCTTGATTGCGTGAAGCGATCCTTTGAAATGTTTGATATTCGTCCTCATCATTCAAGAATCTTTCGGATAAATCTATTTTAAAATAAAAAATTTTAACAAATAGCCTTAAAAATGCGTATAAAAATGTATATTTCACTTACCGTGCCAACTTTGCGGTTCCAAATCTTGTAAATTATATAATGATTTGGCATCATATAGTAATTTCCATTCGGGTTGATTATTACGATTTGCTTCTTCGATATCGACATAATATGTGTAATGATTTATAATTTGCTTGGTTTTCTTATTCATTTCATAAATTCTATAAAATAAAATAAATAATAAAATAATAAAATACGATTAGATGAGATTCCTTACATTAGTTATTTGATAATCATAATTTTTTTAAAAATTACCTGAAAGCAGGATTCACATTTCTAAACGTTGTCAGGCTAGGTCCCATATAACCAACTCCAATTGGTCGTGGTTCATGATTCTCGGCATTAGGATAATCATAAATAACTTGAAATTCATCCCAATGAGTGTGACCTATGAAATAATGATTTTTTCGTGTCAGCCCCCAATACATTGACCTAGTAAATCAAGGAATCATTTCAAGCATACCATAAAATTGTCCAACAATAGTGTCCTTATATCTCGCAATGATTTGAGAGAAATATTCATTAAATGATGGGAATGAATCTTCACTAACAGCTGCCATATGCTATACCACGAGTTCATAATTATATATAGAAAAAAAAAATTTTTTTTTCTCAATTTTTTTGAAGGAAAAAGAAAAGAAAAACCCTAATTGAAATAGTATTTCAACAAACCCCAAGAATCCAAACTTTCTCTCCAAGTTCTTCAGCTTTGTCCAATTCGTCAATAACCCATTTCAACATGTGCTCGGGATCCCATTCTTCATGTGGTCTAATAAGCATCCACCAATTAAATTTATACCAGAAATTGGTGTTCAATCCTATAATACGCAAATTATCTTTGGGTAATCTAGCTGAATAAAATCCTCTTTTCTCAATAGATTCAAGTGCATCCTCGGACAACCAAACATTCCATTGTTTTGATAATGAATTATATAACCATGAAACTGAGGAAATATTACTGATTGATGATGTTGGGAATGAATTCACAGGTGCCGATTCATGATTTCCAATAATTGGAAAGAATGGGGCTGATGTAAAGAATTTACGCCAAATATCTGATGTTTCACTTGTTGTTTTCTCGATCGTTGAAGGTGTCTCCGCCCAAACATCTTCAAAAACACGATAATAAGATAAGTTTTGCTATTATTAATCATGAAAATCATTAAGGGAAAGTTTTCCTACATACCGTGTGGAGGCAAGTCACTATACATACATTCATTAAAGGAGATTAAATTTGTTAGGTAAAGATTTGTTTGAGTTGAACTTGATAACAATAATAATTAACATAAAGAGTGCCTTACCCAGTAGATAATATATAATCAATTTTCGGTACAACAGTTGGCATAAACTCCAACATACTTTCGATTAATCTCTTGGGGATATCTATGTAACATACAATACGCGAAACTAATCAGATCACAATGCCCACGCATTAAAGTACCATTTCAATGTTTTTAATAATAAATAAATCACACCTACCACAATTATAATTTCCCCATTTTCCAGCTGGAGTCGTTGCCTGATCACCAAAAGCATTAGGTGGTCGACAACAAACCGGTTCACCACATTGAGCTTCATAACCTTCGGAATACTCTGGATCAAAATGCCAATCACTCAAATGAACGACCCACATTTTTTCATCATCAGCGGATGATTCATTTGTGGTGGTTGTGGTACTGGAATCGACAGGTTGCCTTGGAGGTGGAAGATCGATGACTTCGGGTTTGTCAAAATCCGGTTTAGGACATAAACGAGCTTTACTACATAGATTTTCTGCTGAAAATACAGATTTTGCCAAAACTATCATGGCCCATGGCCCAAATTTTGGTAATAATTCTTCACACTATGTTAGGAAATAAAAACACACATGTTCAAGAAAATTTTGAAAAAAAAAAAAAAAAAAATTTGAAAAAAAAGTGATTACCACACGATGAGGTTGAAGATTGAACAATTTACAAATAAGAATTCCTTCTTTGACTGTTATATCTTGAGTTTTATTTAGCAACATAAATTGTTCAATCTTCGAGGCTATTGATTGGCATATATTACATTTTATACCTTCCGTCTATAAACGATAGAATTTAATTTATTTATTTTTTTCAAAAGTTATTCAAAAGGTGAATCAAAAAAATTGTCCAACCCGTAAAACATCCCCACGATTTGTATAAAGAGAAACTGATGGTAAAATTTCATTAAAAACTTCATTATCCAGGTCTTGTAAACTTTTTTTATCTGTAATAAAAGAATCTTGACTCTGCGGTGGTAATAAAGGACCCGTAAAGACTACTTGTTTATTACCAAACGTAGCAATTCGAGATATCACGGGTAAGACATAGAAATTACATATGAATAATATTCCTCCTAAAAGTGACAGGCTTAAGGAAAGATAAGGCCCGCGTTTTTTCATATTTATTTTTTTTTGTCACAGTCTTCCAAACAAAATATTTAGACCGCTAAAGTAACACCAAAACTGGAACGATAATTTATTTAATTAAAGTAACAGAAAGAAGTGAAAATACAAAAACGGAGAGAAACAGCGGAAGGTAGTACTATCAACAATCATGACGTAACGTATGTAACTTAAACCAAAATGAGTAAAAGTTGGTGACCATTAAAGTAAAAAGTCCGACACTATAGTTGCAAACTCCAACGGTTTTTCTGCATGAACTAATTTTTTTTTTAAAAAAGAATTAATCTCTACCTGTGAATTTCTAGATAAAAAAAAAAACGAGAATATTACCCCAATGCCCAGCATCTAATTCTGCAATAACTGCATTGGGAAAAAATGTTCGTATTGTTGGATAATCCTAAAGAAAAAATTTAAACATTCTAAATTAAATAAATGTATATATATATATATATATTACATCTTTACCTTTGAGAGTAAATAATTTGATTTTGTTCCCGCTACAAATAAAGTTTTTTTGTGAAATGTGTGATGAGCCGAATCGAATGGAAATCCACCCAATTTTTCTAATGAATCGCCTAAGATATTTAAAGGAATCCGAAACTTAAATAATCCCGTATCGGGATCTTTTTTAAGATTTGTTAGTAAGAATTGTCTGATGGTAACGTCCTAATTTTTTTTTTTTCATTTGGTTAAAAAAAAAAAAATGATTCGCACGTTATTTGAAGGGGTAACGATAGATCAATAGATTAACAAGAACCTACGTCAATGTAATCTTCCATTATTTTATCAGCCTTTTCTAATTTTACGACCCCGGCTTGTTCAACTTTTTTCATTACATCAACGTAAGTGGAAAAGATTGAAGGCATCCTAGTATTGATAGGCGAACTATCAACAACTACGAGTTTTTCGATATGTGGAACCTGTCTAAGCGCCATAGCCATGGCCACTCTTCCTCCCCTGTATAAATAATATATCAATATATAAAATAAAATATTATTAAGGACGAAAGTTGAAGAATTCATACATAGAATGTCCCATTACAACGGTCTTATAAAGTTTGTGTTCTTTGATAAATGCTGCAACATCGTCTGCCATCACTTCATAATTATGAACAGATAAATGTGGACTATCTCCATGGTTTCTTAAATCCTGATTAATTATAATTCATAAACAATTAACTAAAAGGTTAATAATTTGATATAATGTGGAATAAAGTTGCAAATACCAAAGTGAAAACATGCGTATTTAACCGTTGAGCGAAAATTTTAGCCAACGATTTCCAATTTTGCTTTGATCCGAATAGACCATGGAGAATTATTAAAGATGGACTTTCGTGTGATTTTTCATGGATTGTTGGTGGATCATATCGTGTGAGCGATAATTTTGCTATTTCAGAAGGATGATTGTGTGAATGTTTTCTATTTGAAATTGTAAATGGTTGCTTTCTTAAAGATAATTTTGTAGAAGGAAAAGGTGAGGAACAAATAATAGTTCTCGAACGAAACATATTCAATTGCAAAACCTAGAAATGCAAACCGTATGTCAAGAACATTTATAAAAATATCCGAAAATTTTGTTTGATAATCTCTGGGGGGTACCGAATTTGTTGGCCGATTGGTTGGTTTTTATTAAATAAAAATACGCGTTTTACAAGAACGTGATCTTTTACCAATTCATTTTTGATGTATTATATAGTATTGATTCTATAAATAAATACGCATCCATTTGAGATCCTTCTCGAAGTCTCCTCTCGCACGCAAATTTTGAGAATGAGTCCTTTCTAAAGTTTCAAGCAGGGTAGAAGCCGTCAACTGGTTCAAAAAATTTTTTTTGCTTTTTATTTATCTTAAACAAAGGAAATAAATAAGAAATCTTTGATAATGAAAACTTAATTAATAACTCGATGAAATACAAACAGTGTATAAAATCTATTTGCGAGATTTGCGGAAGCGAGTCTTGAGATTTTTTTATTTCGCATTAATTATCTATGCATTATTTGATTTACACGAAAATTGTCAAGGGTCTGTAGTCTGTACTGGTCACATACATAGTTAAAAAATAAAGTTTCTTGCTTTGTAACGTTGTACGATATTTATTGCAGTGATATTTGCCTATGATGTATAAAATAAAAATAGACTGGTCCTGTGCGACAGCCGTTAAGCATATTAGTTTATTACATAGTTTATTACAAATAAATAAATAATACAACGTTTTCTATGTGCAAGCACGTGCCATAAATGGCAAATATCTAGATTAAATCGACGAGAGGGTTTTTCGTGGTCTCAGGTCATATCTGACAGGCGAATCTCTCACAGAAACGAATCGTTGCATTTCATAAACCTTGGGTTCATCAATCATTCCATTGTCCTTTAATGTAAGGCTATGAATGGCGGTCGTCTGAGAAAGAGATTGATTCTCGGTTGATAATAAAACTTTTGGAGGTTTTGATAAATAAGTTCCGAGAATTCGATCCCATATGGTGAAGAATGGTTGGGAAAAATTCATTTTTATACCGTACGCCTGATGATGAATATCATGGCTAAAAAATAGATTGAAATGTATAAGAGAACACCGAAAGATTTTCAATGACAATGAAAGGGAGATGAAGCTTACTAGGCTGAATTATTGCCAAAGATTTTTTGAATCGGATTAAATGGCAAGTTGTAGCCGCAATGATCATCGACTGTGTAACAGAAAGGAATAAGTTCACACAACATTTGATAAAGAAATCAACACAATTTATTTTTATCCAAACTTGCCGGTCTTAAATGTCGCAAATCCAAAAAATGTCATTCCACCAAGAGTTGTCATTCCTGATAATTTAAACGCTAATCCAGCACCTACGGAATCCATCACAAACCCTTCTACGGGATGATTATAAAGTGCACCAAAAGCATATGGAGCATGTAATCTATGATGTAATGAATGGATATGTTTATAGAGAAATTTATTTTGATGAAAGAACCTGTGCATAAAATATTGCCACGTGTCCAGAAAAATCCTAATGGATAGAATGATGAATAAGCTTTGAAGGTCATATGCGTTTTATAAATCTACTAACTTGGTAAGGCAATGATGACAAATAACTTACATGGCAAAAAGAAATCGTGAGAATGGAATTAAATACCAGTATACCGTCTTTACTATAGAATTATGGAAAGGTTCAAGCACATTCCATTTATCAAAGGTTGTTAATATTGACTTTAATATTTGTTGGTAGACTAGCATTTCAACCGCGTCGTCCAACATTACGTCTTCGTCTTCAACAACGACTAACAAGAACCCTAGTAAAGTCTGTAAAAACTGTTGTAATAAAACTGCTCGAATAACTTCACTCTGTGAAACTTTGTTTCTTGTTTCTGTTTCAATAACACTGTGAAGTCGATATTTTTCAAAAAGTGGAATCTCCAAAGTTGAAATTAGGTGGTAAAACCCCGAATATACCCAATAAACCACGAGCGGAACAAATAACGCAAGTTGTTTGTCTGACATAAAGGGAAGAATACTCGTATGCTGAAGAGGTGTCGCTGTCTGTGACGTCATGTCTATTGTCACATTCATATTCTTGACGGTTTATCAAAAAAAAAAATAAATAAATAAATAAATAAAGAGAATTATTTTCTCGTTATATATATAATAAAAAAAGAAATTCACTATACATATTGGTTCATGACACACGCACTAACACACAATCTTTACTAATGTTGGAAAAATGATAGTAGCGAAAATCGATCGAAAGTCATTTTCGGTAATAGTGAAATTTTATAATTGATCTTTTATTTATTTAATTAAAAAGCTTTATTTTAACATAATACATAATAAAGAAAGACAAACACAATCTTTATTTTAAATGATTTTAAATGATGATATAATGATTTTTAATTGAAAGAAAGGTAATTAAAAATGGTTAAAATAATTCATTTCACGAGGATTTTTGAGTTGATAATGATTGGCTGACAATACGATCATTTCCATGTAAAAAACGCGTTTTATAAAAATAATGTATTCGGATTTTGCGGAAAATCCGAAAGATTCAAAATATTAAAAAAGTGAACTTGTGATCTGTGATCACAACAATCGATATTGACTCAATTAAAAAAAAAAGAAAAAAAAAATTTTTTTTTTTTCTTAAAATAAGGAGAATGCGCAAGGGAGTTTTTTCCTTGGAAATTCTTGTTGACAATAAAATCCTACCAGAATATGAGGTGCCGTCGACGTCGAGTGAGAATTCTAAGCAAACCAGATCTAGAGAAAACCAGAATCCAACATATGTAGCGGTTCCACGTTCTCCTTGTCACTTTTGCATAAGAGTAGGAGTTCACTCTCCTTTAGGTCCAATGGTTTATAAAGGAATACATTATGTCGACGGTAAAAACGATGATACATATATGGAACTTGATCCCTTAAATAAAGACCCTTATACATATATATACGGTTTTTATAACTTTGACAGGACAATTTTTCACAAGTTCAAATTTGATACGAGTTATTGGTCTGAGGATGATATTTTTGTCTCAAATATTCCAACAAGGTGTACAAAAGTGTCTAGTAATAAACAAGGCTTTGGAGTGGTTTCTGTAAACGTATTTACTGCTGAAAGATTAGCAGGGTTGAGATTCATGTCACAATGTCGGAATAATCAAGAAATGATTTCAGAGTTACCGGATAACTTTGATCCCCTGGATGTAATTTATTTGGATGAACCCCAGAAGGAACCTATGCCAAACTTAAAAGCTATCTATGATAAACCCGTTGCCGAATTACATATTCGTTATCAAACGAAAGAATGGTTGCGAGATAAAGGATTTTTAATTAAATCTCCGGTATTTTCTAGTATTTCTAATCCTACGCTGTTTAAAGGTCTGAGGAAAGATCATGAGAGTAAACTAAACTTGGAAGAATCCGAAAACGATGAAGAGAAAAAACTTAAAGTTTTGGTAGCGAATGACATTAATAATGATGATAAGGAAATTGATAGCGATCACGATTTTGAAGATGATCACGGGACTGAAGATGAAGAATTTGAAAGTAAAAGTCTTAAAGAAAAGAACAAATTTCTGAATTCGAAAAGTATTGAATATATAACTGAAAGTAGGATACTCGATAAAATAATCATACCAGAAAGTAATCTTGTAAATGAACCTCGAGTGGTTATTGATAACAGGTTTAATGAGAGATTTAACCAGAAATTTAATGAAAAAGTTCAAGAGGTCTCAACTCATGTTAAGGAAGGGAAGAGTGAAATGGTTAAAGTTGAGCAAGATGGAAAGGGAACAAACATTAATAATGTTACACTGGGTAAAGGTGTAAAAAGCGAAGATCAAGATGAAGTTGAAAAGGATAAAGTCCTAGAATTAATCGATTTAACAACCGACTCACCCAAAGAGATAATTGAGATTAGCGATGACAATGATGATGATGATGATGTGATATTGGTTGAAACAGTTAAAAGTTTTCTTCCTACAACTATCAACAAGAAGAAGCATAGGAGCAAGAAGATAAAATATTATAGCGATACGAGTATTGACTGGAGTAGTGACAATAGCAGTGATTACAACGATTCTTCCAGTGAAGATGAATTTGTTTCATTGTCAAAGAAGAGACTAAGGACGTAAATAGCATAATAGTAATAGTTAATATTTTTGTAACTTATGTACTTTTATAAACTCTATAAGAATATTCTAATTTTTTTTAATCCATATACCATATTTTGTAAATAATAAATTTTCTAAAGTTTCACGCGGGAAAATGTAGTATGAGATTATTTTTCCTGAATAATAAAAAATCCTAAATAGCAGTCATGTGATAGTCATATGATGATCACTCAGATGAATCCCATAATTTATCAAAATTCAAAATTAAAATATAAATAAGTCCAAAATCCATAAATATGGATCCCTATCTTTGTGCACGGGCATTATCTGCGCCAGTGAGGAGTTATCCGAGGCCAGATTATTGCTAATTGCAAACTATACCAATATACGTCTTTACGACGCCTGCAAAGGTGTCGGAAAGCAATATTTGGAAGGGGGAAACCCTTTAATTAAGAATTATTAGCGGGTTGGGGTGTAATAAAAGTGAGGTGTGAGATTTTTTTTGAAGATTGCTTTTTCTTAAACTTTTTTCGACGTGACAATTTTGGGTTTATCACGTGCATTAAAAAGCCTTATAGGTAAAGCAAAATTTTTTTGCAAGAATTTACTTTACTATAATAGTATTAGCGTCATTTTTCAACTACGACGAAAAAAAAATTTTTTTGTCTTTACCGAAATAGTACTAGCTTCTTTTTTCTATTTGTTTCGACATAACCGGAGCGAAAAAAAAAAAATTTCACGATATGTCAAAAAAAATTTCGCCACTGTTAAGGAAAATGTCGTCATTGACAGTGGTCACGTTTTGGGTTAAAAAGCAAGGATTACTAATCCGTTGTACGATGTAGAAATGAATTCTGATTATCTATACGGTTTATAACTCATATTAGGCCACGTGAATCTACGATTGCGTGATCGAGCAAAAAAAAATTTATTTTCCGAAATTTTTTTTATAAATAGGAAGAAGAATTATGATTGATTAAAAAAAAAAAATATCTTTTTTCTTTTTATAAGAGTAATTCGATAAATCCTTAATCCTCAATTCCTCAAATTTAATAATAATATAATAAAAAAAAATGGCCAACGTTCCTCATGGTGGCATCCTTAAAGATTTACACGCTCGAGATGCTTCAAAACAAGATCAATTATTAGCTGAAGTTGAAAATTTACCTTCCATCGTTTTATCTGATCGTCAATTATGCGATTTGGAATTAATAATGAATGGAGGTTTTTCGCCATTGGAAGGATTTATGAATCAGAAGGATTATCAACGGTTTGTAAAATTTTTTAAAAAAAATTTTGATTAATAAACATATCATGATCTGCTGTATCACATTGTTGATCTCATAACTCATAACTTTAGTGTCGTTAAAGACCTCCGATTAAGTAATGGATTATTGTTTTCTATGCCAGTTACTCTTGATGTATCGCAAGAGGATATTGATAAATTAGGTTTGAAACCGAATAAGAGAGTAGTTTTACGTGATTCTCGTGATGATTCACCACTAGCCATAATAACTATACAAGACATATATACACCTGATAAAATTGAAGAAGCTATCAAAGTTTTTGGTGATAATGATATCGCGCATCCTGGAGTAAGATATTTGCATGAACAAACGAAGGAATTCTATATGGGCGCTACTATCGAAGCCATTCAAGCTCCAAATCATTACGATTATGTTGCTCATCGATGTAAGTCATCACGTTGATATTTTTGATTTTGGTGAACCATTTCTAAAAAAGTTTCGTTTTATTTTCTTCTTTAGACACTCCGGCAGAACTTCGTGCTCATTTCAAAAAACTTCATTGGACTCGAGTTGTTGCTTTTCAAACACGTAATCCTATGCACAGAGCTCATAGGGAGTTAACAGTTCGAGCAGCACGTAATAGGCAAGCAAACGTTTTGATTCATCCTGTAGTTGGTTTAACCAAACCAGGTGATATCGATCATTATACAAGAGTAAGAGTTTATCAAGCTCTTATGCCTAAATACCCTAATGGAATGGCTGCATTAAGTTTATTACCGTTGGCCATGAGGATGGGAGGTCCAAGAGAAGCCGTTTGGCACGCCATCATCAGAAAAAACTTTGGTAACACACATTTTATTATTGGAAGAGATCATGCCGGACCCGGAAAGAATTCTAAAGGTGTCGATTTTTATGGTCCTTATGACGCGCAGGTAAAATTGTTTGGCAATTGTTTCGTTTTTTTTTTTAAAAAAAAAAAAAAGTTTTTTTGATCTGAACAATATGATGGAATTATAGAAACTTGTCGCGGAATATAAAGATGAATTAAAAATTGAGGTGGTACCATTCCAAATGGTAACATATATTCCTGACTCAGATGAGTATATGCCAGTGGATGAAGTGCCAGAAGGTACAACGACATTAAATATTTCTGGCACAGAACTAAGAAGAAGATTAAGAACGGGTGGACATATTCCTGAATGGTTTTCCTACCCTGAAGTTGTAAAGGTTTTAAGAGAAACTCACCCTCCAAGATCTAAACAAGGATTTACATTATTTTTAACCGGTTATTATAATTCTGGTAAAAATTCTATTGGCAAAGCTTTGCAAGTCGTTTTAAATCAACAAGGCGGTAGATCCGTTTCTTTATTGTTGGGTGAAACTATTAGACACGGAATTTCTTCTGGTATGTTTTAACTATTTTTAAAAGGAAATGTTTTACTTTCTTTAGTTAAAAAATATATATATATATATATTTTTTTTTTTTAAAAAAAAAAGAATTGGGATTCTCCAAAAAAGATCGGGATCAAAACATAGCTCGTATAGCTTTTGTATCAGCGGAACTTACAAAAGCTGGTGCCGCTGTTATCGCAGCCCCGATTGCTCCATTCGCTGAAGCACGTGCTAATGCTAAATCACATATTGAAACCTATGGAGGTTTCTATTTAATTCACGTTAATACTCCTCTTGAACATTGTATCAAGACCGATAGAAAAGGTATTTACAAGGTAAAGAGATGATTTCTTTTATTATCTTCGATTCCTTATGAAAGAAATCATTCATTAAATGTAATTATAAATATTATTAGAAAGCACAATCCGGTGAGATAAAAAATTTCACTGGAGTTGATGATCCTTATGAGGCACCAGCTGATGCAAGTATCACCGTTGATGTCAGTAAACAAAGTATTAGTGAAATTTGTCATCAAATTGTATTGTTACTTGAAAAAGTATGTCAACATTTTTTTTTTTTATATTTATCATTTAAAAAAATTATTTTTTTTTTGATTATTAATATCATTTTTTTTTTTATATTAGGATGGGTATATTGGAGAAAGATAAATTAAATGCCATGATCATTTTTGGACTTTTAGTGATGTATACATAATTGTATTTTTATGTTCATTTAAGTTATTTATTTTTGGTAAAAAAAAAAAAAAAAAATTAAATTAATTAGTGAATTCAGATCTGTATAATTACTAAAAGACAATAAAGAATGGGCTTAAATGAACCGAATCAATAATTAATAGAAAAAAACCTTTTCCTTTTGGTTTAAACGCTCTTTCAAAGTGTTAATTTATTTATTATTTTAGAACCAATCTAAATTGTAAACTTTAAATAATTTAATTAAAGTAAATATTTTATATACAAAATATATCAGAAAAAATATAAAATGCCAATTAAAAATGCGTTAGCATATATATATATATATGTGGTCTTTTTTGTAATTCACATGATTGTATAAAGTTTATATTTTTAAAAAAATTTGATATTGATCATTCTAATGGAGCCACATAGTTTGCAGGGAATTGACCTGTTACACCATTGAGTATGCCTGAAAAAAAGGTCAAAATAATAAAAGGTTAACAAAATCTTTTTTAAATGTATTCCTTCTAAAATCGATTAATATATATATACCTTCCCACCATCCTTCAGCAACGTCTCTGTTAGTAACCTGAATAACATCTCCCTCTTTTATTGTCAATTCTTCAGGTGACTGTGACTCATAATCATAGAGTACTTGAACTAATTTATAAAGAAATGTGTCAGTCATCAAAATATAAATTATAACGTAAAGATAGATTATTAATTTAATTACCAAAATCATGATATTCAATATATGATGCTGGGACTAATCCTTCCTTTCCATTATAAAAAGCCTATAAAGCAATTTTAGATAAATATTTATCTTCATGACAAATAATAATTACATTAATTAAATCATACCTTGACCCATCCGGACCCATCTATAATAATTTTTGTTTATTTTTAATTTTATTAGTTAATATAGTTTTTACTTTCCCACACACGATATAGAATAAAAACTTACCGTCCAACTCAAAAACAGTGATAATATCACCAGCTGACACACTAAGCTCTTCTTCGGTATCAGCGATATAGTCGTATAAAGCTTCCGCTTTCCATGTATCCCCTATATTTATAGACTGAATTAATGGTACTAGTGTATTATTGGACATTGCTATATTATATTGGACGAATGTTAGATTGAATGTTAATAAAATGATAACAAAAAAAATTACAAATAACTTACTGGAGACAGTTCCCCAAGGTGAACCTGGAGTTGAGAATGTTTGTGCAATTCCTCTAACAATATTACCCTTTTGTTTAGTACAGGTAGGAGGAACTTTCATTTCACATCTAGCATGGCAATTGTAACCACAGTCTAAAACAGGAGGCTGATTAACAACATAAGGAACAAAGATGAATTCTGGATTACAAAACATTATAATGTAATTTACCTTTACAAGTAAAACCTTTCGCGATGCCCCAGATGGTAGTTTGACAATAATCACAAGTTGTGGGAATCGTAAATGATGCATTTTTGAAATCATGGATATCGTGATCAGATCCAACATCTAATAATATCGCATAGATGAGAAAGTTTTCATGGAAAACTTATAAAATGTAACAATTTATATTTTTAACTTGCCCCCGATGGCTTCTATTATAGATTCAACTTGAGTTTTATATTTGACTCTGTTTGTCTCTAAGATAGTATACTCTCTAATGGTTCGATGCAGATTCTTAGAAAGGAATACGTAAAAAAATTTTCAAGTTTAATAAATAAAATCATTGTAAAAAAATAAAAATAAAATTAAATTAAACAATGATTAAATAATATAATAAATACATCAGTAACAGCATCTGCATCACCAAGTTTTGAGTTATTTTCATATGCTTCTTTCAAAGATTGCATACCATCAATTTCTTTTTTCTTGGACTCGATCTCTGAAGTTAATTTCTCTAAATTCCGCTTGGCTTTAGAAAGTTTGTTGCTAAGGTAAACTTGAGAATTTTCATCATTGATCAATTCTTCCTGGCGAACATCAAATATTATAATTAAAATAAAGTATGAGAATTTCTATAAATGAAAGGAAACCAATCACTAACAGTATCCTCGGATATGGAGGAAGGTTCAAAAACAAAATCTGTAGGTTCTTCCCAACTTCGCTTGTTATATCTTATAAATAATTGTGAATCCGCGTGACTATCAATATTATTAATTGCTTGACGTGCCACATCAGCATGATTTTTGGATTCCCTCAACAAAGCTATCTCAAACTCCATATAATCATCCCAAATGTTTCTCACTGCTATTATCCTACTTTCATTAAGTTCTTGTAATTGCTGTTATAGAAACCAAAAATTAATATACCTAAGGAATAAGAACAACTAAATCTGATTAAAAACCTTTAATTACGTTGATAAGAGCGGGTACGTCCGAATGGTAGTATTTCTTTTTGAGTTCATTAGATACGCGTATAGTCAAAATATAAAGATTCTAAAAAAAAATAAATGAAATAAAAGATTTAATTTCATAATTAAATTACAAGGAAACAAAATTCAACATTACTTTGTTATTATTCATTTCAACTTTATCTTGTGCTAACTGATGTTGTAACTTTTGAGGGGGGAAAAAATAAATATTAAATATAAACAGATCGGAAAGTATATGGTATTTATATTTATATATGGGAAGATTGCTAGGCAAATCAGGTTCTTGGAAAATTTTTAACAAAATTAAGACTTTTTATTGCATTTTAGCTTTTTGATAATTGGATTAAAATGCAAATAGAAATTTAGTTAACAAAATTCTCAGAATCCTATTTTCCTAACAATATCATCCCATAAATTTTAAAATTAAAAATTAAAAATTAATTACTTTTTCATATATTTTATCGTCCGATGCTCGCTCAAGTTTTTGTTGAGAATTTTGAACTTCTACACAACATTCATCATAACGAGTCTTAGCCTAATAAATTAAATTATATCTAATTAAAAAAACAGAACACTTTTTTAATGATATTGATATATATAAATTTCATAAAGATTTACTTTTTTCCTTTCTGTATACGCTTTATCCCTTTCATTAATCAATTTTTGTGCGAATTCCATGTGCTAAGAAGGAATCAAAAGATTTAATTAATAATTATTTCACGTAATAATATGTTTTTAATAACATACCTTTTTTCTAATTTCTTCCTTTTTTGCAGATACTGTCCTCACTTTCTCCATCACGCGCGTTGATAATGTCTCCGAAAATTTTGCTCGCTCTTTTGCAATATTTTCTGTTTCGTCTAAAATAACTGACCATGCCTTTAAGAAAGTACTTTGGTTGTGAAAAGGATCAATGGCCTATAGATGTATTAACTAAATTCTATATATATCAACGTAAACTCGATACTTACCTAGCTTCAACATCAGCTTCATTATCGTTTTCTTTTGGAGAAGTTGAAACATCACCGACAGTCATGGCTAATGCCTTTTTATCCTTTTTATTCGAATGCTTTTTAACAAGCATTTCAATTTTCTGTGCATATTCCTTTTCGATTTGAGCACGCTCTTTAATAAAATCCTTAAACTCATTTAAAAATTGTATCCCGCTCTGAACAAATTGGTTAACTGAGGAAACTTGATCCTAATTACAAATACAATATATATAAACGCACTTATTATTATTTAGTACAAAAAAACTGCGACTACGTTTCCAAAATGAGTTGTTGAAAAGTATAAACCCCAAATATCATTCGAATAAATACCTTTAATTCTGTTCCAAAATTCATTTTATGTTCTCAAAATTTCGTTGATCGACATTTAACGCTATAATTTAAATTCATCCCTTTTATGGGAGTAAACCTTTCCGAATATGTCTAAATTTATTTATTATTTTTTTTATATATTTTATGGAATGATTGCCCCCTTTTTTCTTTTTCGTCAATTAACTCGTTTTTCTTTTTTAATTTATAATGACAAATGTCAGAATATAATGAAAAAGATGCCCAAACTTCTTACAAACGTTCAAAAGATCGCGCCAACTCACGAAATAGTACTATGACGGATAGTAATAAAAGTGATTTGTCACGAAAATGTAATAAAAATTTGCGAAAGACGAGTTTTTCGAGTATTTCACGAGTTTCTTCAATAATATCGGTTGATCACCTACCTCGAAATGCAAGGCACAGTATCTTTTATTTAACTAGAGGATCTTTTGAAATCTGACGAAGATTATATTCCTAATTGTATACGGCAATTATTTTCGAATTTATATGGAATATTTTATCTTTGAAACATTATTCGCCGCCTAACCTTAATCTTTAATATTATATTTATATTAAAAGTAGTGTCTCTAATGATCGGTTCGGAGGAGTTCTGAACAACAACGATGACGATTATGAACATTCACATACACTTGACGATAACTCAAGCGAAGATGAGGAGAACGATGATCTTCAAGATGTATAAATATACAATACTTTTGCATAATTTTCATAATGATCTATCGGAATTTTAACCTTTTTCTTAAATTTCTTAATAGAATCTTGATCCATATAAGGTTTTGAATCGTAAAGAGGATTCATTAAGAACACCTTTTCAACTTAAATGTTATTATTTCTTTGAAGAACCAATTACTAAATGGGGAAGGGCGTTTGTGATATTTTCATCCACATGTACGATTGTCGTTGTTCTGATGATTTGTATCAATTCTTGGCCGACTATTTCCGTACCAAGACCGAAGATTTACAGAGAAATCTGGTATATATCAAATAAATGTCGTATATAAAATTTGTAAATTTTTCATAAAACATTTCATTTATTTTCTTTAATTCTGTAGGATTCCGATTGACCTTATATCCCTTATCACTTTTACTATTGAATATCTTGGAAGATTTTATGCTTCTATAAATAAATGGAAGTTTTTTTATCGTACGTATGGTGAAGTTAATCTGTTGAACTGTCTCGTTCACGATTGTTACAGCGCGTTTACTAATTCGAAATTAAATTAGAACCAATGAACTTGATTGATTTAATTTCAATCATACCATTTTTCATTCATTTGATTTTCTTAAATGGCATACAACAGGTTTGTAGATGTGACGTGAAATTTTACGATCAATTATTATTGACTTTTCTTTTCTTTTACATTTTAGTCCATGTTGCAAGTTATCAGAGTGTTGCGTTTATTCAGACTTTTAGGATTATTTCGTGTTGCAAAATATTCGACTGGCTTTTACGTATGATTTTTTAAAAAGAAATATATATATATTTTTTTACTCTTACCATTGTTAGCCTTTCTAAAATTTTATTCAAAACTGTAGATCACCGCAAAAGTATTTCAGCGTTCTGCTTATCAAATTGTTGTGGTGTCTGTATATTTCTTGGTGATATTGCTGACATCTTCGGCTTTAATATTTTATATTGAACGCGGCGAATTTGATCAACGTAACTTGACTTGGTACCGTATCGGAAATGATGGGAATTATGAAATTAGTCCCTTTCAATCGATTATTCACTCTCTTTGGTGGTCGATAGTTACACTTACTACCACGGGCTATGGCGACGCTGTTCCGGTCACTGGTCTCGGAAAATTCGTTGCAGCAGTAACCATGACGTGTGGTATTTTAGTAATTGCACTCCCAACTTCTATTATCGGATCAAACTTTAACGCAGAATGGTCCTTTCATCGTCGACTTCAATTTCAAATGAGGGTACATAAAACACGAGAACAAGCTAAATCGTTTATAGAGATTGGGGAAAATAAGACTAAAAAGATCAAAGTTCTTCAAAATCAAAATAAAGCCATGCTTGAAGGATTGGCGGAAATTCAAGAAAGATTATCAGAGATTAATCCACCAAGGTATTACCGAAAGTATAAGAACCTTCAAATAAGACACATTGAGGCATTAGAAAAAATTACAGAATTAGAGAATAAGCTAGAAAGATGGAAATATATAGCTAAAAATCTTAGAACATTCAATAATTTTGAATTACCATCGGAGAATTTTAATGATAAACCGGATGCTGATCGAAATGGTTTCGATCGAGGTAAACGGAGTATATGGAATTGGAAGAATACACTCCGAACGTCCTCACATCTAAATATGCGCAAAGCTACGACTGATTTGAAAGATTATGATAAAGCTCACAGAAGCGTAATCAACCCTTCGAAGAGAATATTTAGAACATTAAGTAATAAAATTGGAAAATCGACTACAAGTTTAATAACGCGGAAAAGACAACCCTCAGGACCTATTACGAGTGAAATGATAAGTTCTCCTACAGATTTACGACATACATTCCATATAATTGATTCAGAAAGAGACTATGATTCAAATTCAATTAATACCAATGAATTTACACGTAACAACTCTCTTCCTATAATACATAGGACATCAAGTGAACCAACTCAGGACATTAAACAAATGGGCGGTATTGAAATCATAATTGATGATCAAAATACGCAAAGTAACAAATAATAATACAGATCATATAGAGAATTCTAAAAATCATAAAGATGTTATTTAATTTATAATGTAGAATAATCAATCTAAAACATATATAATTTTTATTATTTTTTTATTTTATTTTTATTTTTATTTTTTTTTTTTCCTTTTTTTAATCCTTACATTATTAATAAATTAATGCAAGAAAAAAAATCCCTATTTTTCCTAACTCACTGAATTTCGATTGAAATTTTCCTGCGAGTAATGGCGCAGCTAACGCAGCTAACAACAGTATGCGCATTGGAAAATACGGATTCAATGAGCCTTTTTTAACTTACTGCAGCATAATGTCTAATCAATGCAGAACGCTTGGCATTACAATTGGGCTTGTAGACATTTGGTTTTTTTTTTTTGTGGGCCATTACTGATTCTCTTGGTTATTTTTTTTTTTTTTCGCGGATTTTCATAGATCAAATTATTCAATATCAGATATCGTGATAACGATGATAAAAAAAGACCAAAAATTAAATAATTTTCATAGTGAGTATAGTGAGTGCATTCTTTCTTATTTTAATAGGAGGAAACACAATTAGTTTATTTATTATTATACAAATTCCGAAATAATGATGTAATTGGGCTTAGCTAAAAATGCTGGAGAAAATAATCTATTTATAAATTTATTTTAATCTCAAAATAGTACTGCGCCAAATCTATTTATTTAGCGAAGGTGCCACAATACCATTCTGACAAGATTACTCTGAACGAAATGTTCGTGGGATTCAATGAATGGGAGATCTAGCATTGAGAAATTAAAAGCAGATCTTTCCTCATATATAACGGATTCTTTTGGGAAGATGAAAAATAAAGTCAATAAAAGGTAAGAGTTATTTTTTTCTCGTGATACACCCCCCTTGCAACAATGACTTCCATTTTTAAATCGATACACGTGTCTGGTACATAAAGTAAATAAATGCGAAACGTTTATGACAAACTTGTTTATTATTTTTTCTTCGCTTTTAAAATTTTGTTATATGATATGGCATCGAAGGTTTGGCTTGAGGCCACCCTTAAAAACGGATTTATAAAGTTTATCGAGTATAACTCATTTGAAGATATAACACCTATACCAATACAAGGTAAAAACGCATCATCGAATAAAAATTTATGTTGGGCAAATTGGGGTAACAATCAGAAGAATAATAAGTTGCACGTCGCTTTGAAAACCTGGAAATTAAATTATGACAATATCGATCATGACGCCGTAGAAAGGTTTGTTAATGAGGTATTTATTCAATAAAACAAAATTTTTCTATTTTTTTTTTTTTAATAAATTTCATTTTTTAATCTTTTATCGATAACCTTCTCTCCCCAGTTGACATTATTACCAAAAGTAAATTTTCACGCGAATATAATAAGATTCTTTGGAATGAGTCACGTTTCCTCCAGCGATACATATTATCTGGTAACACAATATGCTAATGGCGGTACGCTACGACAACATCTACAACGTAACTATCACCAGTTAACATGGTTTGATAAGACTCGAATTATCAAGGAAATAGCAACAGGTTTACAATGCATACACAATGAAGGAATATCACATAGGAATCTGGTAAGCTAATTTGATTGAGAGTTAAAGTTAATCGATAATCAAAAGTCACCAATAATATCCTTATCGCTTTTGTAGCACCCAAATAATGTGCTGGTTCATGATGGAAGAATGATGATAGCAGATTTGGGATTCTCGGACACATGGCATGATTCAACGACGCCATATCACGATGAGATGATACCGTTTTTAGAACCGTTGTTCTTACAAGATACTTTTTATCAAAGAGACAAGAGATCGGACATTTATAGTTTGGGTGTGTTAATGTGTGAAGTGTCAAGTGGGCGTCCTCCATTTGAATCAACGGCATCAAATTTTCATCTATTATTAAGAATCATAATGAACGGAGAAAGAGAATCAACCATAATACCAGGAGCTCCGCTTCAATATGTACAACTTTATCGACATTGTTGGGATGGTGATCCAAATTCACGCCCTACCATACATGAAGTTTTATATAGGTTGAACGAAATGCAATTAGATTCCTCCTTTATTAAACCCGGAGAAGTTCGCTTTAAGCTTGAACCTACTCCCTTGAAAAATATTGGAAATTTATCAAATAAAAATGGAAAACGATTGATTAAGAGGCACTCTCATCCAAATATACTAAATATCTCACCATCTTTACCTCCTACAACATCCTCAAGGACCATTCCTCCTCTCCCATTAGACTCTATAGGTGAGTAAATTGCCTTGTAAAGGTTAAGTTATTAATTCATTTGACAAAAATATATATCTCTTTTTTGTAAAATTTGTTATTTAGATTTGAAAGATGCTGCAAATGATATCGGAGATTATGTCGTAATTGATAAAGATGAATTGTCAGGGTACACACAACCAAAACCTGTTCGTATTAAGTTTTTTATACATTTGAAGGCTGATTTTTTTTTAAAAAAAAAAAATTCGTGATTTTCCTAACCAAACGTATCTTCTTTTTTTTTTAAAAAAAAAAAATTTAGTCTTTATCGGATAGTGACTTAACGAAGAAGAGATATGAAAAGTCAAGAAGCCTAAATTTTCGATATACTCGCATGAGTCGAACATCATATGGAGACGGAAATGACGTATACATGCAACGTGAGAAAAATGATGAAGGAAAAGACGTATTGTTTGAAAATATTTCAATAAATAATTGTCAGCAATCACCAATATTATTGATAGCAAGGTATTCTCCGGCAAAGAGAATAATATCAGCATTTGAAGTTTTAAAGAAGAATGGTGGGAATTTAAGGGATAAAGACATCAAATTGAAAACGGCAATACATAAATTAATTTGGAATGACGATTTATTTGAAATGAATATTGGATTTGCATCAGCAAAATATCCAAGGCATAATCATTTTAGAATAGCATTAAAATGGTTATGCTCAAATAATATTAATATTAATTCAAGAGACGAATTTGGATGGACTCCATTGCATGAAGCAATATGGAAAAGAAGAGAATCCGGTATCATATCCGCGTTACTGGATCATAATGCGAATCCGAATATAACGGATAAACATGGTTCAACTTCACTTCATCAATGCTTAAATCTCTTGAGGACGACGACAGACGATTCAGAAAAATCTCAATTATTTGGTTGTATAAAATTACTTTTATCTAATGGTGCCAATCCAAATTTATCACTGCCGGATCACACTCTGACATTATCTGGAGTTCCTTTCCCGAATTCTTTATTTGCCGCTGTTTATTTGGATTTACCATTGGACATTATTGAATTAATGGTAAAAAAAGGTGGTGATGTTGCTTCAACCTCCTTTCGTGGGTTATATTTACTGGATTTTGCTGCTAAAGTTAATAATATTCGTGCTCTTAAATATTTAACCGATCACAAGAATTTCTTTGGAAAAAAAAGTATTTTTAACGCTTTAAAATATCCCGTTAAATCTTATACCATCAAACACGAAAAACCTATTAATAGGGGTAGAAGGTTTCATAATAATATTTCCACCGTTCGAAACTATTGATGTATATCATATAATCTCATTAAAATATTTATATATTGAACATTATATCGCTATACATTATTAATTGTAAAGTAACTGTTCTTTTATTATATTCATTTATTCTCTTTAGAATTTGTTTTTCATATTTCATGTAGTGTATTATTTTTTTTTTATTTTTTTTTTTTTTTTTTAATTTGTATAATATTTTTATTTTTATTGCATATGCAATCACTTTATTATGGTGAAAGTTGGCGTGCTAAAAATCAATGATATTAAGGATAATTAGATGAAATCCATCTGTGCTCTACTTTATTAAGCGATGGTTTTTTTTTTTTCTTTCTGTTATAATAAGCGTTTCACATACAAGCGCAAGATTATTTTGGGAGATAAAAACCCGGTCCCGGGAGAAATCATAAATGATTTGTTCGAAAACTGAACGTTTTAGATAGACAATAAAATCACATGATTTGATTTATCTAACACGTGATTAAATCCCATTGCTAACTAGTATATAAAAAAACGCGAAAAAAATTATCAAGTTAACGATTATTTATAAGATCGGAAATATCCTAACATACCAAACTTTAACTTCTTTTATAGTTCAATCATTACAATTAGTTGGTATTCTTAAGATTTTAATAAATAGCATTTTCATACAGACAAAACTAGTAATTGATAATAATCCATTTTGGTGAACATATTAAACTACAAATGAAGAGAATTATACATGATTTTTATAAGGCTGAACAAATCAAAAGTGATCGAAAAGCAATGAGATTTATCCATAGAATTTTGCATTATAGAGTAATTAATAATATTCTTATATATCAATAGTATTGTAAATTTCATATAAAATAAAAAACAAAAAGTTGTTACTATCATTTGATATTTTCCTTTTATTTTATAAAGAAAAGAATGAAGCATAGTAAACGTTTCAAATTCTTGTTATTTTCATTAAAAAAAATCATTATAAAATTATAATACAATAAAAGTTATTAATTCGCAATTTACAAACTCCATAATCTAATAATCGTCTTTTTCATCATTCTTATTTCTTCTGCAATTAAAGATAAGAATAATATTTTGAAAAGTTTGAAGCACCTCTTCAAAATCAAAGTACAGGAAATATTTATAATGTTGTAAAGTCATTTTCAGTTTATATGATCATAAGTAATAGTCTAAATAGTAATAGATAAATTATATTATATTAATTATATTATTTATATTAAATTTATTATAGTGATTATAGTATTTTCTTATTATATTGTATTATATAAATTACCCTTTTTTACCTAATCTTTAAAGTCATGTTCAGCTCTCTAATCTGAATTTATTGGTAATAAGAAACATTTCAGCTTTCATCTTTAATAGATGAAAGATATTGTGATTAAAAAAAATCTATTTCATCAGTTACAGTAACTTAAATATTATTAGAAATAATTTCTACATATTCAATAGTATAATAATAGTGTGAA